ACATAATTGTTACACGTCTTACAAAATACTTCTTCACAAGTGTGTTTCCTAGCATTACGATATATGGCAAAGCAATTTTCACAACGACTAATTTGGGTACATATATTATGTATCTTGTGATTGTCAAAACACCTTTGACCCCGAAACGCTCTTTTGCACTCTTTACAATTAATGCAAACTTCTTCCCCTTTAGAACATGCTGGACTTTGCTGGCACGCCGCACACGTTCCCCCACATCGATGGTCCGTTTTATTATTGTACGGTACGTGACATTCTTGACAATAATAAATACAAGCGAAGGCTGCGGTTAAAGATGTTATCACGTTGTAGTGTCCTTCGTGATACAATAAATTCAGGTGTTTTCCCGCACTATCACCCTCGAACATCACATCGCGTCCTTTTCTTCCGTATAGATAGACGGTTAGTTTGTAACCCGAAAGGGGGTTTTGAAATCGCTGTAATTCGGGTATACCCGCTCCACAATCGGCTATTGTAATTTTGGTTTCTTCTAATAAGTTCATAGCTTTTTGGTCCTGTATTTTACCTCTGTTAGTCCTAATCTTGTGATAATCGACGTCATGATCCACATAAGCCATAGCAACAACGATCGCCCGCGGTAAACACAAATTATCACTATTCTTAATTAACACGATGCCCCTCCTTGCTCTGCATTCTTCTTTATAATTATTATACTTTCGAGATCTACCCAAACCGGATGGTAAGCGTACAGATGTAACTCGAAAACAAAACGTTTCGGTACTTAGACCGCTACTGTTGGACTGATAGATAGACGTTATAGTATTCCAAACATCGTCAATCGCCACCTCTTTAACCGGCTTGAACCGCAACCACCCCTCACCATTTTTAAAGTCTTTGGAACAGAAGGAGAAACCAACCATATCGTGGGGTGATAGAGCCTCTACCGCCTTATGAATAAGTTGTATGATGGCGTTTTTTATCCACTGCACTGGATCCAAATTGTTTGGTACAGGTTTTATTTTAAACTCCATAATGCGACCGCTTAAATTAAAGCGACGCACATTACGAGTCACATCTCTTATTATAACAAAATTTTCCATAATCACAACTTCAAATACTCTCACCGCACAGAGAATAACAAACTGGAGAACTGCTTCGCGAACAAGTTTCACTCACACTATGATCGAAGCGCTCGTGAAGGCTTGGGGATATCAACTTTGCACGGACCGCAAACAGAAAAATTCGAACTTCTATCCAAATTTTGCAGAAATAATTTGCAATTTGTGTCTGTTTTCTGTACAAAATCGTCAGAATGGCCGCTTTTTCAGAAAAATTATGAGCATTTAACTATACAAATACAGTGCGCTCTTTACGTAGAAGGTATACTTTCAATTGTTTTCTAATATCTTAAGCCATTCGGACATTATTTTTAAAAATCCCTCTGTTTCGGCCTAAGTTGAAAACAATTGTCTTATTTTAACGATATAAGCTGTAATCTGTGGTGATTACCAGTATGACTGCGCAAATAACCATTTCGTCAATTTGTTACGCGTTTCTCCGAAATTAGACCAAGAGAGTAGTACAAGGCGAAACTGACTTTCTTTTTCCATATTTCTATTAATAACTTATAAAGTTATTTTGAAAATAGTGTTTCAAGGCCTAATGTAATTTCAGGACGCGATATTAACTTAAACTATTTGTACAAAAGAGCCCTTTTATAAACCGCGTAAGACCTATCAATTATTTAGCGAAATGATTACAGCCCCATTTGTGTTCTTTTCGTCGAGATCCATGGAAGTGTGATTACGCGGATGATTTCCAATTCACTTTTTCGATCTCAAAAGAGTTATTCCCAAAAAGCCATATTTGACAGTACAGTTCGTTAATAAGATCGTTTTTATTATACTAAGTAACACACTTCCACGTTAAACACCTACAAAACCGTCTCGGCAATTTTCCGAAATTTTGGAATTTTTTTTCTCAAATCATGTTCTAATCGGTAAAATTCGACCTGGGGGAGTGCGGGGTGATTTTCGATTTATTTTCTCGATATCTCGCGCCGTTTAGGAGCTATTTTGAAAAAACGCGTTTTAATTGCTTTTAGATGCAATAAAGCTGTTTTTTCGATGTAAGTAATATAGCTTCTCACCTTTAATGCCATTGGGTGTGTCGAGGTAGAAAGTTGCATTTTAGATAAGGAGACTTAGGTCCTTTTTTCGAAAAGATGTATTCCTCGACACATACAATCGATGCTGTGTATGAATAAGCTTTCGGCAACTTCTTGTACCCGAGTTTTGTTAATACAATCGTTTTATTATAATAACTAATATAATAAGTAACACATTTCCACCTTAAACACCTACAAAATCGTCTCGGCAATTTTCCGAAATTTTGGAATTTTTGTTCTCAAATCATGTTCTACTCGGTAAAATTCGATCTAGGAGGGTGCGGGGGTGATTTTCGATTTATTTTTTCGATATCTCGTGCCGTTTAGGAGTTATTTTGAAAAAACACGTTTTAACGCCTTTAGATGCAATAAAGCTGTTTTTGCCTATGTAACTAATATAGTTTGCACCTTTAATGTCATTCGTTGTGTAGAGGAGAAAATTGCATTTATAGAAACGCCAACTTGGTCCTTTTTATTTTTTGGAAAAGGTGTCTCTCGACACATGCAATCTGTAGGGGCAAGACCCACTTCGACGACTTCACGGATATCAACTAATTCGATTTTAGTTTTAATTAAAAAGACCTATTTTCTTAAAATTACGGTACTATAATATCGTAGTAAATATGAATCACATTTCCTAACATTCCTTGCGCGGGAGGCTATTTATAGAACATATAAATTCTAGAAAAGCGATTTTGCACAAGTGTAAAAGGTTACCGATTAGTACGTAATCTTTCTACGCTTAGTACCTAATTTTTGTGTATACATGTATTCGCTATTTTTTCAAAATAATTAGAACATCAAATTATTACTTGCAGCCAAATTTAACTTTTCTTAAAGCATGCTTTTTTCTACAATGAAGTAACTGAGAACACATAACTTTTGCTTTATTACATTCTATTAATAACACAGGTAATTTATCCCTGCCGGTTCTTGTTCTTCACACCCGTATGGGTTTAAAAACTTAGGGTAGATAATGTCACAATAAGTAACGACTTGTGATCACTTTTACGCTACTCATATTTTGTAAAATACCTATGTAATGTAATCACCATACGTAACAAATTTTGTAACAAAAGTATAATAATAAATCTCCAAAGCTTTCATGTTATTGAGGTTTTCGTAAATGACCGTGTACTCGAGATTTGTACATATAAATCAAAATCGGTATGTACCAAAGAATTGTTCTTGTCTTAAATATTATAATTAACACACATATAACAATGCTCTAGTGGCCGCCTGCATTTGATACTCGCCTCTTAATCGGGCAACCCAGGTTCGAACCCCAGGACAAGAAAAAAGTTTTTCAGAATTAATCCAGGCGCAGTGTCTGTTTGACGCCCCACTCCTACTAGAGAGCTCTTAACTCGTACGAAATACGCCCGTACTTCCTCAGTTAATCGCCGGCGGAGGGCCCGTTATAGGTGAACGTCAAATTCTCATAAAGCCATAACAATCGCATGACGTACATCATAGATACCGTGGTAGAAGCTTAGGACCTCTCCTTAAACGGTCAGGTTAGAGAAGTAGAGGACCGTCCAGGTAGGTGACAGAATATCAAAGGAAATAAAAATTTCCACGGTCTAGGGCCACCCACGTAGGCGGTATACATCAAAGGAAAAAGTTCCCTCGGTCTAGGACCACGCCCACACAGGTGGCATATATCAAAGGAAAAATTCCCACGGTCTAGGGCCACCTCGTGGGCGGCATACATCAAAGGAAAAAAAAGTTCCCACGGTCCCCAGAATTTTCCCACGCACAAGCGACCCAATACCTACTCATAATATGAACCCTCTTTGTGGTCAGTGTCAGTCGAAGTTTATCAAGAACAATAAAATGATCTGTAGTGTCAAGTCATGCAAATTCACGTATTTTCATCTGTGGATGTAGTTGGGTTACACTCCCAATCGGCTTGCCGGGGACAGCCGATGTTGTTGGCTGCCTTGCAGGGTTTGTTGTTAGGGTCCTTAACTACACTTTTAAACGAGAATGGAAGGGGCTTTAGGTTATTAAACAAAAAAACAGAGGTAAGTATAAATCTATCTCAAGTAAGTAATGTACAATTAAATTTCTAGGAGGACTACCACGGCAGATATTCACAATTGTGTTTTGTGAAGAAGTTGAAAAATACCTAATCAGAAGATTATTGATTATTGCGGACAACGAACTTCCAACAGAAACAACTGGTTTTTAACTGCATTTGTTTTAACAGTTGCTTAGCAAAAAGTTTTATGGTTTTATAATCGTTTGTTCACATATTTGTCAGACCAGCGAGTTATACTTAATGTTCGTAGTGTTTCAACAGTTCTAGCCGATCAAATAAGGAAATATAAAAACTCGTCTGTGTGGAAGAATATATAGTGTGTGTTTAATTTTAATATAGTTTACCTTGTATTTAAGAAAGGGTTAACCGCAGGGTATTGTGTAATAAATCGGTCAGTGAGAAATATCATATTTTATTTCATAAGTGTTGTAAGTCTCATATCTTTCGGAGGTACTGCTTTGCAACACCAATTAATGATGATAGCTAGTTTATATACTTAAAGCTTCATTACAACTACTTTGGATGGGAAACAAAACTTCTAACTTAGTTCATTAATAAATAAACCATGTTTCTAACCTAAGGTTTTTTATAATTTGCAAAAATATATATTCTATTCTATAATCTATTCTATGGCGAGCGTCAAAATTGACATTTCGCGCAGGTCGTCGCACAATCTACTTATTCTCATATGTCTATGGGCACACGGGATGCTAAATTTAATAAATTTTCTAAACATTGAATCACGAACTTCTCCATTTTTTGTATATCGACCATATGCATATTTTACGTTGTTATACAGAAAATTTATTGCTCTTTTTAAATATCATATCCTTATCTTGGACACGGTGTATAGTAAAAGAATCTCTTACCACTATGTTCTTGTCCATTCACTTTCACCGTTCCAGAGAATATTTCGGATTCGTATTCGACTGGTTCGATTTGACTTCGTTTAATCGTTACCGTTACAGTTTTCGTGCTGCTCGTTTGTGTATTGGACTCTATAATTAAATGATAATATTAAATATTGTTGGGATAATTCGTGATAGTCATTTTCTTTAATTTACGCCTATACCTAAATATTGATTATTAAAATATGAGATAATGAGTGGTGACTAAATTTTGTTGCAACTATGCTCAATGTAACGGTTGTTGGCAATGGTCCCTTTGTAAATTGTTAAATGTGAGATGTTCAGAAGAAAGTCAAATTTTATTACTATTTTACTTTATTTTGCCTATATTTTTTTCCCTTTCATAACAGCGTCGTTTAGTTTGTCCTAATTTCTTCATAGCATTAGAGTAGAGTATAAGAAATTCTCCTAAATTTTGCATTTTTTCTTTGCAGGTACTATCTTTCTACAACACTCTATTTTCGAGATACTCATACGTGCGGCCAGTATTATACACAATAGTTAACTGTGTTGTTAGGCTAACAATGCTGTTGATTGCATGTTGAAAAAACATCCAATCACATGCCTTAATAAGATTGTTAGCCTGACAACATAGTTAACTATTACCTAAGCGCCGGATAAAACCCCCCCTTTAGGTTGGCCATCAACCCCCCCCCCCCCCTCCAAATCTGCGACAAAAAGGGAACACTTGGACAATTTTTATACACCACAGTAACCGAGACTTAAAACCGGCCTAACACCCTAATATTCAACGAGAAACCAACCGAGAAGGAATGGGCACCGAGCAACACCCGAATTAGATTACCGCGACAGGAAAAAGTTCTGGCCTTGGATCAACACTATCAACGAAAGTCCCGTACCCACTCCCTCCCAAATTATTTCCAACCGACCCAACTGACGGAAAGCAAATATTTTCGTCGTCAATCTTATCCTGCAATACATCCGCTTCCCCCTATCTGATCATACTTTTGACCTCAGAATCACCTTTAATCGGACACTCAATAACTGTAAGACGATGCAACTTCATTCTTGCCCGTCGCGGCTACATCCGAGATTGCCACTCGAACACTCTCTCGCATGCGTAGAAAACTTTTACATGCCCCGGGCGCTATCGTGTACTCTCGCCTTTGTGTTGCACTCTAAATCGCCTTCCTCGCATCCTGTAAAGAGAGATTCTTCGGAGATACACCGCCTACATTACAAACATCCATGTCTCCTAACCATATAAAACCTCATCACACTCCAAACTTCATTCAACAACCGCGGAATTAACAGTGAGATGCTGCAGGAAATAAAAAAAAAACAAATTTGCCACGACATACAACACACATCCCAACAACATAAAATCAAATTCAAATTTCCCCCCACAATACTACTCCAGCTTATGGCAAAGCTCTCTAACGACTTCGACTAAATCCTGGACCTACATCTTGATATGACCTCGATAGTAAAACAGAATTGACGATGCATCACCTCTTCATAGTTTTTCAGATACTATATCCGTCAAGAATCCACAGGAAACAATAGTTTTCACACGAGTTTTCACGACTCATCCACACATCTGCCAAGAAGCTCCGCAATCTCTGGATGTTTTGTATGTATTATATTTACAATATACCTACCTAGTTAAAAACACTCCACGGGGCTATAGATTCCTTGGCAGTCAGCAAAGCTTACCCCAACCACAATTGCATATCTATCTTTATTAGTTTATGTGTTAGTTTACGATCTATCCTTATAAACTCATTATGCTAGTCTGATCCGACCGTGTCCGCGATTGCGCGAAAGCGGCTTACACCTTTTTTTCAAATCTCCTGTAGTTTATCTATCGGGAATGTGCATCTGATTTTTTTAGCGCGATCACATGACTCATACGGGGTCAAAAGCTCGGAAAAAGGCTATGGTTAAACATTTTGTAAAATGTTGTGTAAAAAACGTCGTCGACGTTATTTAGGCCGAAATAATACCAAGGATAAAAACATTAATTTTACTCTGGGGGATTTCATTACGAATAAGCAAAGAATTGGTTTATTTTAGTTGAATTTGTTAGTTTAATGTGTATTTGTCCATTTCAGAATTGTTTTTAATTTGTTGATTTAACTTGTAAGACGTGAATTTGCGCGTTAGGATGTGAAAAAATCGGGCTCTTGTTCGGTTATCGGATGTAAGTTAATTAACATCAAGACGCACGTGTGTTTGGCGCTGATGACAAAGGATATACAGGTGCACGATTTCTTTTGCGTGTAATTTTGTTACGAAAGAGGGGACACATCAACTGCTTCTTATTGGTGTGGAATTTAAAAATGGCGTTAGTAGGAGTGTCCTTTTAACGTTGCTTATTAGGCTAAGGCGCGTGTCTCGCCGTATGTTGTTCACCTCGCGACGGGAAAAAGAGCGTGTACGTCTTTGTACGCTAATTTTGTCTAGTAATCGGCATTTTTAGTTAACCGAAGACGCACATTCGTCGCAATCAGAATAATCTCTGCAGATGCAGTTCAGTTAAAGTTCGTGCAAAGTTTAATGCGATTTGTCCGTTTACAGAAGAAAGTTGCGTTAATTTTGGTAACGCACTTTTAGAAAGTTAATATCAACAAACATTTAAAGTGCTTCCTGTTGGGATAGCCAAAAAAAAGAAATTTTGTCCTTTAACTCAACAAACCACCTCGAGTGATTGAGTTTGGGGTACTAGAAAAGAATTGAAGTTTCCTGAGGCTATCAACGAGCCATTGCACACAGCAGTATACAGTGTGTAAAGCGATGGGGTACCTATACAAGAGGGAATTTGTTTTTAAATATTGATTTATGAAAACAATTTTATTCTTCATGATATTTTTTGCTTGCTTTGAAAGTACCAATAACGTTTCGGTAATCTGAAATTTATTTTATAGAAATCTAGAAAAATAATAAAATAAATTTTTTTATTGAAAGTTATCAATTATCATTCTACACTATAAACAAGATAGCGTATTTCTATCAAACCACAAACAATCGAAACGTTATTGGTACTTTCAAAGCAAGCAAAAAATATCATGAAGAATAAATTTTTTTCATAAATCAATATTTTAAAAAAATTCCCTCTTGTATACCCCATCGCATTACACACTGCATATGTTTTATTTCAACGGATCACCTATTCGCTAAAAAAGAGCAAAAGATGCCATCATTGTCGGAGTGTCCTAAGCAATAAGCATACATATTATATCGTAGCAACGACACGCATTTTTGATTGTTTTTCTAATACCGCCCGTTTTTTTGATATAAGTACTTAATTTCGTACCGCTACCGTGTATGCAAAAGTAATCCTCTCGATAGATATAGTTCAACGTGAAGTAAAATGTGTACGATCAATTACTTAAAACATTATTTAACTTGAATGAAAAGATGCATTACAAACTTCAAACCAAGATTTGTGGCCACAACATTACGTATTATCATCATTGTATTTAGTCGTTTATAACTACAATGGTATTATGCACTGGGTCATACATTCATCAAATACAGTGAATTTTTTTAAAATGCGAACATAGGAGTTTGCATGCAATGTAATTTCCCTATGTTCGATTTTTAAAAAAACACATCAATCTATTGAGTAGTTCAAATGAGTAGTAGATACAATTAACAGCTGTCACATTTTTAAAAATTCCGCCGTCCAAGTTAATTACGAAATCGGTTAGGTTATTGCTTAGAATGTCAAGGAGGACACTTCGAACATTTATTGTAATTGTTTTCGTTATTTATTTTCTTATTTTCTTCATTTATGTATTGAATAGATCAAATTAGTAGAATACCAGGTGCACACGACCTACAAATAATTGAAGGTTGGTTCACAATGAGTTGTGGTGTCAGTGCGTGGCCTGTGAGATTAAGTTATCGTAAGTTTAAGAAAAATGTATCCTAAAGTTGCTATGGCCTCACATGGCTTCTTTAAAAAAATCTTACCGAGTGCTCTCATCATAAAGACTATTAGAGTTGCTGTTCATAGTCACACAAGTTGCGCGATTTGGGAATGTGAACCGCGCACACCTCATAGATTGATGTGTTTTTTTTTAAATCGGAAATTACATTGCATGCAAACTCCTATGTTCGCATTAAAAAAAAACTCACTGTATATAGTAAGAAAGCATTTCCATTTAACCCCAACTTTGACAAATTCGGCAAGACACATCGAGAATATTAATATTAGATTATTCTACAGGTTCTACAATCATAATTTATGCAAATTGTATTGGCAAAGATGTTCTAAATAATAGTAATACGCGTCTTTTGATTGCATGACAAGCAAGCAAAGGATTCTCTGTTCATTAATATTCATGACAGGTGGGTGCTAATCTTACTTTATCCCGCAGTACACAGTATTAAATTGGATAATTCCAGACAAAGCAAGACGTGGTCATTGTTTAATTCACAAAATATTAATAGGTATTCATCGCATCGCCCATTATTTGTAACGTTAAGCACGGTGGCAAATCTGCAGTAGGTATATAGGAAACATAAATCAAGTTACTCACGTTCAATTGACTCCGAATGGTTTTCTTGCTGCACGGTTTTATATTGTCTTCTCTTTGGAGACCCCTTGCAATCCCTGGAACACCATACATTACATTATTACCTACTACTATAAAGATATGGTTAGATTTACTTTTACATAGTTCAAATCAAATTTTGAGAATTATCACATTCACGAATGACGAAATCGATGTACCTATCGCGTATGCACGGCGGCACATTGGCATTATTAGTTCGTCACGTTTTAACATCAGTCGCACACCAAGGAATTCCGCATGGAAGGTTTAGGGTCATTTTTAATCAAATTACATTACAGGGTGAGGCTTATTGGGAAATAAACTTAGAGTTTTATTAACACTTTCATGTAGGTAACCTAATTGATTTAATTGCTTAATTGAACACTGGTGGACCACCGCTCGAACGGAAGTCAATTTTTTATGTGTAATGAAGATAGGGAATATTTAAACAAAGGAGAAATACAATGATCATCCGCGTATGTGCGAAATTAAAATTTGTAATTCGTTATTTTGTTTAATATAACTAATTTTAATTTGATAACGGTTAAATTACCTATACTTCTGGATTAACAAAACAACCTAAAATACAGAAAAATTATTACCCGTCGTGCTTCCTGCTTCATACCGACTATGTTATAAAAGTCCATGCCAATACAAATGTATCATCTCTACACGTCCATACTAGACTAGGACTAGCTGCATTATAGTTTATAGAAATGGGTGCGTACTGGGTGTAAATGAAACGGAGACTTGAGGTAACAAGGCGTATTTTCGCAACAGTTTTATAAAAAAATCCGATTCCCAAAGATTATCCCTTGGGAACATATGTGTGATATTGGAAAAATGAGCGGCTAAAATTACATTTTCGAATTTTTCTCCCTAACCAGTGAAAATATAAAAAGTAAATTCGCTGCAAAAATTCCAATAATCATAATTTTTTAGCTCAAATGGAACTTTACTATAAAAAGTTAAGTTTGTAGACCGACCTCGAGAGCGCACGTTTCTCATGAAAACAGAAAAATAAAATACCTCGTAAAATACCGTGAAAGGCATATATCTATCGGGCAGTTAACAATTCAATTGAAACAAATGTAAGTATTCCCGTACCTTTTTTTGCCAATTACGAAAATATTGTGGTTGTTTTGGATTGATTTGCGCACCAATCCACAAGTTTTGTGGGTACTAAAAATTTTCCTCCGGGACCGCGATGCTAAATCGCCATCTTGCTCATATCAAAATGTAATTAATACTTTAGTTTTGCATACCCACACGAATTATTGCTTCTTTAATAGATTCGGAGGAATTATACAGGGTGGAAATCTTGTCTTGACATAATGAATACATTTTCACTTCATTACCTACATATTATTAAAGAGTACTTGCAAATGATACCAACGCGAGAGAATCGTAACAGTTGGTCGCTTTAGACATCACAATTTTTTTGTTATAAATTTACAAATTTGCCAGTATAGGAAATTTTATACGTGTTCCGCTTCATAATGAAAGAGAACAGAACTAATGTTCGAAGAATAAACCGCGTTAAGATGAGGGCGAGTGTTCAAGCAGATAAGAGTCGAAACGTTATTGTTGCCGGCTCTAGAAAGTAGAAACCGTGTATAGCATGAAAGGAACAATCTTCGCGTAACGATTTATTTTCAATATTACGTAGTATGATTGTTGTTCACGGTTTTATTACTTATCGGAGAACCCCTGTAACATCTAAATAGCATCATTAGGTTTAACTAACGGATTCTTTTTCATGCCAGAGAGCGCAAATCTGAAGTTGTAACATTTTCACTTATTATGTTCTCTTTCAACAAGCCGGTGAACGGAAGTGTCGCCAATTATAAGGATCTAATTGCACAAATTATTTAATAGTGTCTTTAGTAATAGACCTTTTTCGTTGTGCTCAGTTTAAGACTCGGACTTTAACCTTACAGGTGGTGAGTTCGAATTTCGCAACTTGCTAGTTTTTGTGGTACACAACATCTCCTAACTACCATGCTTCGGAGGGCGTGTAAAGCTGGCGGTCCCGGCAGTCATACCAGGACTGTCCTCAGGGACACAGATGGCTGTTGAGTGTTGAGGCAATCTGAAAACCTCTGTACACTCGGGAGTGTCACCTATACGATAAATTAATTAATAAAGTGGGGCTTCAAAGCAAACTAAACCACTTATCTCCACTTTTCTTGGAGGATATATTAGATTACCGATTAATATACAATATTTGACGGTTGAGCCGATATAAATTAACTACTTCACCATCTCTACTCGTTAGTATTTGGTTTCAACGCCCTCTCGTTTAATTAGAGGTAGAGGCGATTGGGATTTATACATGGGTGTTTTATGTAGTAATTTTGCTTGCGTTAGCTACTTCTTAAAGAGATAAATACTTGAATCGCAATTAGTAGTAGTGTTACCCGATCGATGCATGATCGATTTGAGGTACATTACGTGCGTGAAAAGTTTTGTAAGTTACACGAATCGTATAAAAAGATACGATATATTAACGGCTGTATAGTACGTTAAACGTTACCGCAAAAGGTAAAATAGTTGTCGAAGTCTAGATACCGGTTCATGCTAAAATCAATATAAAGTGGTGTATTTCTGAGGAAAAGGTGAACTTCATTGCCTGGTGATTTCTGACTGCTGATATAATTTTCAACCGGGAATATTGCGAAGCGTAACCGTATTAATAGGTGAGCGAACATATTTCAATGCAGTGCAATTTTAGGTTAAGGCGTTCGCCCTTAAATAAATTGTTACTACTGTTGTTGGGGGCCAAGGTGCAAGACCTTCAATTGTGCTATATTTATAGTTGCTAAGTTTATTATTAAAATTTGTGCACATAAGTTGTGTGAACTGTGAACACAATTATGAACAAAACGGCTACCGGTAAAAAGGTTAAAGACAATATTAATTCAAGCGTTTGTTTGCGATTTAAACCCTAAGTTATAAGGGTACATTTTTGACATTTACACACTGCAGAACATCAGTAATTTATTACTGTTAACAACTCAAAGTTCAAGTAATTAAATCAAAGTAAGCCTGAAGCACGGTTTCAAGAAGCCTTTAAGAAACTTAATTCAAGAAAAAGAAAGCACATCGGGAATTCATAAAAGGCAAACTGACAATATGGATTCCTAAGGAAGCCAAGGCGGGTATTTTTGGTGACTACATGGATTTTGAACTAAACATGTCAAAATCGTTATTTATGCACCCAGATCGTTGGGAAAAAGACCAAAGGCATTATCATAATGACCAAAACATGAATTTGATCTATTTTTGGCGACCATTTGGGGAATGGATTTTCATCAAAATATGTCAAAATCGTTATTCTTGCACTGATATCGCTGAGAACAAGATTAAGAACAGTATCCCAATGTCCAAGACATGAATTTGACGCATTTTTTTGTTAAGTATAAAATGTATTATGTAAAATTAAAATAAATTGTCGTTAAAAGTGATTGTAATACTGAAGATCTTTCGATATTTCGTTGTATCGGTTTATTTCAAGGTCAAATTGTTTGTTTTTCAGAATGTATCTAAAAATCTATTTAGACCTTTGCAAATACTTGATTATAGTATTCTCTTAAAAATAAACTCGTGAAATGTGACAAGTCCATGCCTGAAATTCAAATTAGAAACCCATTTTTCCTTTATGCATGAACTGTTGTTTTAAAAACTCGTACACGATATAATACAATTTTGTTTGCTAATGCTAAATACTCAATTCTGCAGATCTATCGGCCGCATAGGCGTTTGCCGTCGTAATTCAACTTTAAACTAACATCAGCTACAATTTTCGTCGCGACATACCCTGATCTGGGTATTTTGAGTTTGAAGAAGTAGAAATGTTCTAATTGTCAAAAGAGTTTTTGGTAATTACTCTGACAAAAAATTTTATCGATCCACATGGGAAAGTTCCGATTATAAATGATTTTGTAAAAAAATTAAGTTTGGGAAATCACTTAATGAATATTTATGAACTACTTATTTGGGTATATACGTTTAAATTAAATATTTGGACGGATCAAATGTAAATAAGGGGCATGACGGTCAAAAATAAGCTTGTCACAATGTGCACATTTACAATTCACTTTGGTAGGACCTTCCAGGCTTGCAACATAAAATTTGTCGTGCAGAAAGTCCCTGCGGGTCGTTCGGTAGAGGAGAATCCCTTGTAGTGGAATTAAATAGATTTAACTAATTGAAACTTGGCACAGGCAAACACAAATTAAATTTACCTAAAATAAGGCAAATGAACTTACTCGTTAAGACCCAATTTAATTTTTTCTCCCGAACTCTTTAACAAAAGGTGCGCGTCCGAATTCGTGAAATCCTTTGTCGGTTGATTGTTGATTGAGGTAATAATGTCACCTTCTCGTATTCCTTTAATTGCGGCTTTACTTCCCGGATTGACCTGCAACAAATATGAGAATATGTATAGTTGGTTGCCTAAATTTACTATTAGCAGAACATACGGATTATGGTAATACTTTCTTGCTTTATACATTCATTTAAATTAAAACGTGCCCGACGTGCTAATCAGATGCCTAACCGCAAATTTCTTACAAGAGAGAATTGAAATATCCTAATGCACCCTCCGTCGCTCCTGTATTGAGATACATACAACAGAAAGCTTTAGGGCTTCAAGTTTTGTTTGAAAGCACCTTCTAATGTAGGTAGTGCAGATATTTATTAATGAAGAATTAAAGATGCTACTTACTGTAAATTATATCTTAACCATACTAGAATGATACCAAGGGAATAAGGTTGTAAATGAGTCGAAAATATACCTAATCAGTTGTATTATATTTATATGTATTTGTTTATTCATAGAGAAAAAGTTGAAAAGAACCTAAAGAAATAAAACAAATGTCGAATAAAAGTGTAGAAGAAGAAGAACAGTCTGTTAAATTTATGTATCATGTGCCATTGTTTATAAAGGTATTACTATTTTAGGCTAGATGTGATGGCTGATATACATTCTGTCAAGTAAGGCTATGGGATTGTCGACATTATTTTGTTTTACTTGTTGTACTCCGTGGACTAAACCAACGTGTTTTGTCATTCAACTAAGGCACTAAACTATCACTTTTTTTCTTGGGGGAGAAAAACGTCACGCGGGACAAAAAGTGACAGTACACATTGAAATGTCAAACACAATTTAATGATTTAGGGTTACCTTTAAGGCGCGCACAGACCGACTTTCCAACGCAAGCCAAGGCACATGTGGTTACAGATTTGTAGGTGTTCGGATTGGTGTGTACCGCGCGAGCCAACGGTTTCCAACCGCTTCCAACGGCTTCCAACCGCTTCCAACGGCGCTGTTGGCGTTTGATTGCGTTCGCTCGGTGAGCGGTACATCAAAGGGAAATTTGATGTGGTCTGGGCAGGATTTGTCGCCATTTTAGTTTTTATTCGTTTGTCTGCCTTCGATCGCTCAATTTTTGGTTTCACAAGAAGAAATAATGTATTAAAAATTTCTATGGTCATCCTACAAAAATTTTTAAAATATCCACCATCTTCATTTTGAAGTTCCTCTAGTAAGTGACTGCCACTATACAAACTCCCATTTTTAAATGGTGTTGTTACCCACCAACGTCTAGGCTTTCTTCTTTTTCTTTGAAATTAAAGAATTCATTATTAAAACCCCGCACTCGCCAGTAGTAAATCGTCTTTGTCGCTTGACATTGTTTGACAGACTAGCAGCACCGGTTACGGAACTTTACCCAACACGGTCCCGCCCAGTCCAACTCAAATCTTAAATTTTGGTGTGGACGAGGGCATTCCAATCGTTTCCAACGACAAACGCCAACGTCACATGTGCTTGGATTCGTTGGCTTGGCGTTGGAATCCGGTCTGTACGCGGCTTTATACGTAGAATTAGGTTCGTGCACCAAATTTTATACTTACATATTATAACCGTTTTGCATATCTTAGCGTATTTCCACAAAAATAAAAGAAATGCGCTATTGTGGCCACTTTCTCCGTCTGCCTGTCCGTCCGTCCGTTCGTCTGGACGCTACTAGCTCTTTATCTTAAGAGCTATTGTTCTACTTTTTTCGCTATTTGGTTCGTTATGGTGTCGAGGCTTGCACTTAGAAAAAAAGTTATTGTAAAAAATCTATGTTTTTCATGTATACCATTACACTTTTGCCGTTTATTAACGATCCTCGAGATCGTTTATAATGTTACATTGCTGTCTGCCCGTCTGTCTCTCCGGCCGTCTGTCTGTCCGTGTGCAGTTGTGCGTTGTCCACGATAACTTTTGTATTTGCGCAATCCAAATTTCCCTTTGTTAAGATATAAATGAAATGTTGTATGTAGTTACTTCAAATAAACGTGATACTAATGTCGAATCAACAAAATTGTTTTGTACATGCGCAATCCTTTTTTTTATTTGTGAAGCCTTAAGAGCATTAAGTATTAATATATTTAAGTTTAAATTGGATAATTTTTTTTTCACTAAAATGATTTTTTAGATCAATTATTAAATGATCAAGAATTTGAATCTCTCTGCCGCCCCCTTTAAATCCGCGCCTGTGATTGACTACAAACACAACTCGACAAGATTGAAATATTCTTTTTGACTCATTTTCACTCCCTTTCCATTATTTCATAAAGAAACACAGAAACAGAAGACTTTTATACAGTGAATTTTTTTTAAATGCGAACATAGGAGTTGCATGCAATGTATTTTCCCTATGTTCGATTTTTAAAAAAAACACATCAATCTATTGAGTAGTTCAAATGAGTAGTAGATACAATTGACAGCTGTCACATTTTTTAAAATACCGCCGTCCAATTTAATTATGAAATCGGTTAGGTTATTGCTTAGAATGACAAGGAGGCCAGTTCGAACATTTGTTGTAATTGTTTTTGTTATTTATTTTCTTATTTTCTTCATTTGTGTATTGAATAAATCAAATTAGTGGAATACCAGGTGCACATGGCCTACAAATAATTGAAGGTTGGTTCACAATGAATTGCGATGTCAGCGCGTACCAGGTGAAGTCAAGTTATCGTAAATTTATCCTAAAGTTGCTATGGCCTCACACGGCTGATTTAAAAAAAATCTTACCGAGTGCTCTTCATCATAAAGACTATCAGTTGCTGTTCATAGTCACACAAGTTGCACGATTTGGGAATGTGAACCGCGCACACCTCATAGATTGATGTGTTTTTTTTAAAATCGAACATAGGGAAATTACATTGCATGCAAACTCCTATGTTCGCATTTAAAAAAAATTCACTGTATAATGTTCTTTTCTGTTCGAGGGGAACGGGAACGTGTTCTGAACACTAAGAGAGTTTGCTAATGTATCATTCTCTTAATATCGAAAGGTGTTCCCAATGATGATGCCAATTTCAGGAACTTGTTTGTAATGGCAGAAGTGGTTTAGGATCAACTTCCAATTCAGGTTTAATGAAGAATAAGAAACGAGGGCGACGGCTTTTAAGATGAAGTTCTGATGATGCTGACATTTCGGGCCGATGGACGAGTTCTGGAAATGAATAATTTAAGCATAAACGACCCAAATCTTAAACTCAAACATACGCGATTATGATGAGAAAAATTGTTGCCCAAAGGGCTATCAAAATTAGTTATTTAGCTGTACTTTAAATTGTATCTGTGCATTTTTAGGATGAGTATGCCATCTGGAGAATGTTTCGAGGGTTTGTAATCGGAACATGTCTTAAATGAGCTACGTCCTAAAAATAAACCAGGGAGATCCTTTAAAATTAAACGGCTCTACACTGTAAGTGCATTTTCAAAAACCATTAAAAACGATGAACTGCGCTCCCCTCCATCTAAATCTAATGGGTTCAATAAATATTATGTCTATCTGTGCTGTTATATACCTACGAGATGTACGCAAAGAGTAAAATTGAATTTGTTCAATTTTCACCTCGATTTTCACTTAACTAAATCTATCTAAAATTCACAAGGAAGAAGGAACGCGTAACGCTATCATCGGTCCACAATAAAGTTTGAGAGGAGCAACTCTTTGGCGGTTTAAACGTCCTTATATAGAGTAGGTACCTATTACTACCATAGGTTTTTCAAAATGGCGCCGTTGGATGTTCGTATAGCAAGATAATTATCAGCGAAGTGTAAGATGATATAAATTACACTAGTGCAGATGTATTATTGAACCCTATTGTGGTTGCAAAAGAGGCTTCATTTATGGAGCAGATTTAATATTTTCGTCGAAGAAAACCTGAAAACCGGTGATTATCACGATGAAATAACCAAGAAAACGTTTTGCGATAGTATGGAGAGCAGCTCTTAAAAAAAGTGAGTAAACGCATTGACCCCCATTCCTTTTGTCCTCGATGTCATATTTAGGAGTATCTAGTTGATGAAACGATTGGTATGTTTATGAAAGTATGGAGACGAATTGAAGTAGGTAAATCATCGCTCTACAATTTATGACGGCGATCGCTGTTCCGGTCTCCAACGAAAATGTATAGCCTTAGTCATTCCCTCATAAACTAGCACAATTTGGATATATTTTTCATAATTATGCGATCACTCTTACACGTTGCATTAAATAGAATTGACCACTTTAACATATTTTTTTTACATACAGGGTGTCCCGCCAGGAAAAGGACAAAATTTTACTACGCGTTTCTTAGATGAATTCGAGTCGAAAATGTCATATGAACATGGGTCATGTTTCATTGGCATGATTTTTTTTAAATTTAATAGTATTAATGAGACATTCTGACCATATCAAGTACTTAGATAGTGTTATTAAGAAACCGTCAACTTATTAAACGGGTAGAATATGGTTACAATGAAGGACACTTTGAGCAATTATTGTAAACATTTATTTTCATAACTAATATTTTTTCGTAGAATAAAATAATTTTTCAACAGTATGGTTCCTATTAATGTTATTAAACGAAAAAAATCATATCTCATAATCATAGAACATTTTCAATTCAAATTCACCTAAGGAACACTAAAGTCCGTCTCACCTTGACTTTGCAGTACAGGGGACATAGGGCAATGCAATCCTTATGGGAGTTTTTAGCGTGGCTATGCCGATTTTAATTTAAATGCTAATTGTCATAATTTTCAACGTGAAATGTCATTTTAAAGGTCTCTACCCACTACAACGTATCATACCATGACCGTAATAGGAACGTGCCAGGCAAAAAATATTGTTTGCATGGAATAGTATTAGACTATGCCCACTAGACCGTTTAGTCACCGACCAGCACCGTAACGTGGGACCGTCGCGTGCCATGCACGGAACGTATAGGCACCGTCAAAATATTCGTTGACGCTCCGTATATGACACCGGTGCGCGCAGGCGCAGAAATGATGAACATACGGAAGTACATATGACATTTTTTTTCGTCATCGACTAGATATAAATAATGCTCAGTATTCTCCCTCGACTTTTC